ATATCTGTCACAAACAGCTATAGTATCTATTTTTAATCATAACTAAGATACGTACTCTTAAATTGGAGGTGTGCTGCTTATAAAAAAAATAAGGTGTGCTTATAAGTAAAATGGAATATTGAAAAAAGAAAGCACTGATATTACTGTCTTGCAAACAAAAAGGAAGATCATATTTGTAGAGCACAGAATTACTTTGTGAATGAAATCTGTTGTTATATGTATACAAAATCTCTCAAGCATCTAGAGAAAACTCTTGGAAAATGATCATGATGTTATGCCTGTAGTCATTAAAATGTAGTTTACACAAAACGATGTTGAGAACCAGTAGTGTGAATATGGCCTGTGTAACAGTAGTAATGGCTCAATTATTGATTCTGGAATAACAAGGCTTTATATTGGTGCTCTTATATTTGAATCTCCCAAAAAGCTTTTTATAACAAACATTTGAAATAATTTTAAATATTACTTTTAAATAATGTGATTGTTGTTCTTTAGAATCTGATGGAGAGCTTGGACTCGCTCCTCTGTGCAGAAGGTTCTGAAAGTCTCAAAAGCTTGTGTCTGAAGCTACTTCTCTGTTTGGTGACGGTAAATAAATACCAGCTGTATAATAACTTAAAGGCTTATATGAGCCGCATCTTGAGGGATGGAACTGTCTCAAAACTTGAGCAGAATGCTGCAGTGTGAAGCTTAAGAAGGGGAAAGAAATTGTGAATGACAGCAAGGGTCAGCCCAGGATATGCATCATTGCTCTAACCATGATGCCAATACAGACTAGCAGGCTGTTTTCACCTCGTAAGATAGGTGCCAACTGGGGCAAAAGGGGAGAGACACAGGAGAAAGTGTCAATTGGATTCACAGGATTTTTTTTTTTTTTTTAAGGGAAAAAAGATATTTAAGAAGTTTCGGATAAATGGAAAGGGAGCAGAGGAGAGGGGTTGAGGAAAGACAGGAAGTGTGGAGTAGAGAAGAGTGGTGAGGATGTGAAGAATGAGGAAGTTGGAACAAATGGCCACTCATCATCTCTTGGACATGGTCAACTGTGAACTATTTTTGCTGTGATAAGAGATAATTGAGTGTGGAGGAGGTCTTCACTGGCCTGTTCCTGATGGGAAAGTGCTCAGTGGAGCATATGCGCCCTGTTTTTTCATTCTCTGCCTCCTGTGTAGCAGCCTGCTTCAGCTGCTGATGGCTGTTGTCATGCAGATGTGTAAAATATCAATCTGTAGAGGAAAGGGGGAGCTCTTAGTACGTGGGTTGTGCTTCTTGCCAGAGGGAGGGCTGAGAGGCAGGACAGATTTCTTTTACTTCATGTCTAGCTCTACTGCTAGTCACACCTTGATTTACTGACTAAGTGAGAGATTCTGGATAAATGTGTCCATCTGGTAGTAGAACTCTTCTGTTCCTAAGTGTGTGCCAGAGGCAGCTAGAGCATCATGGGAGGCTTCGGGTGAGATTTTAAAACTTGTGTTTGTACTCAGGTGACAGATAACATTAGCCAGAACACCATCCTGGAGTATGTGATGATTAACAGCATATTTGAAGCTATTTTGCAGGTAAGGATTCTTCCTTCTACTGCAGGGGCTTTTCTTCCATAGTGAGAGCTTTCAGTGATGTATTTGCTTTTCAGCTTTTTCAGTGCAGCATAGCTGACTGGCACTGTGTTGCTTCCGTTCATAGCTCAGTCATAGATTTTTTTTTTTTTTTTTAAATGCTGTCTCCTCCTTACTCTAGTCTGCTGTTTTTAGTCACTACTGAGTATTTAAAGTATTTTCACTTGAGACATTTGTGCCTAGATAGAAGCTGAACAGATTTCTGGGCTAATTTCACAGAGAATTTCTGTATCAGAGGAACTTTTTTCAAAAGGCAGTCTGGATATATTGAGTGTTTTTCTGCTCTTTGATAAATTATACTTTTTAGGAGTGGAACTGGGCTTGGGGAAACGCAGAAAACTTGCACAGATAATGTTGGTGATGCACTGAGATACTGTCCAGTGCTATTGAGAAATATATTTGCCCTTTATGCCCAGAAAGCCTACGTGCGTCCTCTCTGTGATAAATAAGCTTCTCTGTGTGCAGAACTTTTTTAAATTGTCTCCTCCTTACTCTAGTCTGCTGTTTTTAGTCACTACTGAGTATTTAAAGTATTTTCACTTGAGACATTTGTGCCTAGATAGAAGCTGAACAGATTTCTGGGCTAATTTCACAGAGAATTTCTGTATCAGAGGAACTTTTTTCAAAAGGCAGTCTGGATATATTGAGTGTTTTTCTGCTCTTTGATAAATTATACTTTTTAGGAGTGGAACTGGGCTTGGGGAAACGCAGAAAACTTGCACAGATAATGTTGGTGATGCACTGAGATACTGTCCAGTGCTATTGAGAAATATATTTGCCCTTTATGCCCAGAAAGCCTACGTGCGTCCTCTCTGTGATAAATAAGCTTCTCTGTGTGCAGAACTTCTTGGAAGCACCGACACTACCTCAACCTTAAATATCCTCTTTCAGTTAGGACATAATTTGCTCTTACACATATATTTCACGGCCATGCACTGTGTGAGAGTCACTGCAAGCTTCCTGAAGCAGGCCTGAACAGAACAGTGTGATTATTTATTCCAGATCCTGTCCAGCCCACTTAGTCGCAGGGAACATGGCTATGATGCTGTTGTCCTTCTTGCCTTGCTGGTCAACTACAGAAAGTATGAGGTATGTATTCTTCTGGATAACAGAAACTTCACTTCTCTCTACTTTATGAATTTACACTGGCCTCTGGATTATTAAGGCAGCCTACAGTACAGTTTTTAGCAGTACACGCTATAACATTTATCAGTATATCAGCACAGGGCTACAGAAGTTTTGCAAGGCAGTCATATTATGCTAACTGTATCTGTCTCTGACGTGTATAATCAAATGTGTATGATATTCATACAGCTCATTTTGTGCAAGCATGAAAGAAACTACCTAGGGGATTTGCATTTCCTTCGTGGAAGTATTCTGAGGAGGGTCCTTTTGGAAGAGTTACTGTTGTGCCGAACTTGCATGTTTGCCTCTGTGCGTGTGACTGTGCAGTTATACATAGTCTCCAAAGTAAAATGAGCTGTCAGTCATCTTGTGCTTCAGACTGAATTTGTGATTCAGAACCTGACTAGCAGACTGAAAGAGCACAGATCCCCAGAAGAGGTGGTGAAGGTGTGACCAAAGAATGAACTGAAACATCACAGCTAGTATTTCCAAGAGAAGTCTGTCTCTCTTTGACTGATTCCTCTCTGGGAAACTTTATTCATCTTCCTTTTTCTAAACTGGTTGTGCTACTTTGTGATGTATTCCCATTTTTTTCTGTTACTCGTCACCTTGAAGAAGAAACATTTCAAATGTCAAAAAAACCACCTAATGTTGGCTTTTCTTGGTGTGAGGCACGATGCTTTAATGATTAATCTCATTTTTTTCCATAAATAGGAATATCTTAATATACTTAGATTGGCAAAAAGTGGGAAGGTGCTGGAATACCCCCTCCTCAAAAGAATTACTGGGAGGGGGCAGGCTCTAAAACCTACCTGGTTTTATAATGAATCTTGTTTTGAATTATGAATCGACCTAGAGAATAGGCAAAGACAGGAGCTACACTTAGTGTCAAGGTAACCCCTGTTAATTTCTTATTCCTGTGAATGTTGTCAGAATCATGAATTACAGATTCTGTTCAGCAATCTGTGCCATGGTAGCATGGAATGGCAGCATGGAGTTTGGTTTCAGTATATGGCCATGAGGGAAAACTGTTGGGAATGATGTGGGTAGAGTTACTAATGAGGGCAGACTGGAAAGACCAGAGGTCTCATTGCAACATTGAGGTCAAAAGGTGGAGAGCTGTGGAGTCCCATCCCTGAGCTGTGGATCCCTGTGTACTATAGTTTATGTCCTTAGTAAGATAGAGTGCTGTGAGTACATAAGACTTGTCCTCTGCTCTTTGCAGTAGCTTTCTGTAGAGTACTGAGTTGGGGTCGAGTGCTTTGGAAAGCATCGGCCTAGATGTCTTCAAACTGGGCACCCAAAAGAAATTGTGCTGATGTTTAAAAAGTACAATCCAACCTGAGGCAGACATGTAGCAAGGGGAATTTCAGCTTGAGTAGTTCATCTGTCAAGGTTGAAAGCAACCCGAAGAAAGGTTTTATATGATGGCTGCCTGACACTGCCTTTCATAAGCAGCACTACAAGCAAAGCCTGTAGTAATGCAGTCATAATCTTTGTCCTTAAGCAGAGTAGCTGCTTTCATTTGCTGTTCTTTGGCCCTTAGAGTCAGTTTAATGGTTGCCTGGTTGTCAGTGTACTGTAGCATACTTTCATGCCTCAAATCCTTTGGAGTTCTCTTTTTAGTTAACTGTGCTGCATTTGATAGGTTCTCTTTTGTTCTGAACTTCATTGGTTGCTAAATTGTGTTTCCAGCTGCTTAAGAAAATCTAATTAGGCTGAAAATTCATTAGCTGACTATGATTTTGTGTCTGTCTTTAATGTGAATGCCAGCGTGTTTTGCATCAGGATGTTCTTTCATATTTTGGGGATGTGAATTTTGTAGTCTCCTCTCAAATTCCCTGGGGAATATCTGTCCGCATTTTCATTACCAGTGTAGCTGATATCTTGGCTTGCTCATTAACTTCTGTTCTAGGAGTAAAAATGATTTACATGTCTTTACCTGGAACCTTTAAAGGGATGTCCCTGATCTGAAACCTAATAATTTTCAAAAGTTGTTCCAAGTATATACTTATTCAAGTCTTCAGCTATATTTTATGCTTTTTTTATCCTAGTTCTGATTTTAGAGAAAATGTTTTTACCTTGATACTATGTGAGAGAAACATAAAAGAGTAACTAAATAATTGACTATATCAGGAAATTGGTGAAGCTAAGTGTACACAAAAGGCTGCCAAACAGAGAAAATGCTGTGAGGAAGAGTATTTATTTGATCACTTTCTCAGTGTTTTAAGGGATGGCTGTTAGAATAGCAAGTTAAAACATAAAATCAGGTAGTGACTTTTAAATAGTTAGATTCCTTGATAACATCTAGGTGGAAATTTCTTTGCCTCATGTTCAACCCACTAGAACTACATATTGTGTCTTTTGCTAGGCAGAGCTGAAAGAAATTAGTCAAAATGTGGGTTTTTCCCCTTCGTGTGCTTGTCTGGCAGCATGTGTATCTGACAGCCCTTCATGTCCGGTTATGTGGACTTACCTCTCCTTGATATAGTCAACTACAGGTGCTGAAGAGACACTTTTCAACACTGAAGAGTCAGAAAATTAATCTTTTTTTTTTAAAAAAAAAAAAGTCTCACACAACTCAAATTATTTTAAATGAATCTCTTTAACAAAACAAGTGATTATTCAAGCTCCAATTCCCTGCAAGACGGCCTGCCTGCAGAGGAGATGGCCTCATCAGGGCTGGCAGCAAAGCTGCTGAATCATCCCTAATGAGTGTTCAGGGAAAAGTCTTGCGAGGGATAATCGAGTGGACTCTGACCTTCATTTGTGTTACAGATGTGAAGATAAGTTAAGCACCTAACTAGGGATTATACATGGTTAGCTTGGGTTTTTTCTGCTTTCTTTTCCTACCAAAAAATTGTTTCCCATAGGTTTGTGTTGGAGGCGGAGGTACATTTGGGGGCATGGAGGAGATCTCACTCCCTCTGCCAGACCTGTGTGCTTCTTCATATAATACTCACTTCGTATGGCTTGTCTCACCTGGTGATTGCTTTAAAAAGTACCTGGTAATGATCTCCCTGCAGCTTCCACCTTCATTTCTATGAGATTGTTGGCATTTAATGGTGGGTAGTTCGTGAAGGACATCTTGAGTATTACCAGGCTTCAGGAGTTTGTGTCTGTACTGCATCGCTGACAAGACCTTAATGATATAGTTTGTTACCTGATGGCAGTGACAGGAAAAGACCTGTGTTCTCTGAAGAGCTGGGAATCATTTCTGAGTACTTTCTGGAGGCAGGTGGAGGCAGAGGCTCTTTCTAAGTTTGTGTCACTGCTTCATTGACACACGTTTTCAAAATGCTTATCAACCACTTTTCAAGGCTGCTGCATGTTTCTGCATGTTGTGGAGTGGCAGGCATAATTTAGACTTTTAAAACTTCTGCTGTGATACCCAGTGAGAGGGGAAGTGAACACTGAAACAGCAGGAATAGAATAGGGAAGCAGGCAGGGAGTATGGGGTGGGCTTAGGGGTGCTTGTACAACTTGCAAGTCGCTGATGTTCATCATAGATGTGCAGACTAATGCTCGTAGAATATAACTGGAACTGTTGGCTCTCAAGGAGGGGCAGGAGCAAACTGCATGCCCTGTGGGCAGCACAGGAAATATTCTCATCACACTGGTACAGACTTGCACACTGAAAGGCACTAGAAACTGCCTTGTCCCATACAGAGTAATACGGTGTGTGGATTACACTGGTTAGTCATCTGCCTGCTGCTTAAGGAGTTAGGGAAGCCTGGAGGAGGCATGGAATGTGTCAGGGGAATGGAATACTTCAGACAGGAATTATTAAACAGACTTCTGCAGGTAGGGAAATGACAATTGAAAAGATAAAGGGCAGAGATCTGTAGCAAGCTAGGCCAGCTTCACGACCCTATCAGCTGTGCACTGATGACATCTTGCTGCCAAGGGGCAGGAGACATGGAGCATGCATCTTGGAAAGTCAAGGGCAATGGGAGCGTGAAGAGTCATTCATAGGCTAGAGATGACAACGAACCCGCTCCCCCTCCCTTTCTGTGATGGGACGGAGTGCAGGACTAGGTCTCAGAGCAGACTGGTGGCGTTGGTCAGTGTAGTATCTCCCAGTTTGCTTATTCCCCACATTTGGGAATTTGGATAACCCTGCAGACTCTAATTCAGCGTAGCCCTGCTGCCCATTGCCTGGAAAAGCCACATCATTCTTACTGGTCATGAGTCACAGGCTGGCCTCTCTTCTGTGCGTGAGCTGTGGTGTGGAGAGTTTCTCCTTGCTGTATAGGGAGAGCAAGAGAATGACTGAAGTTAGCAAAACTAAGATATATTTACAAGGATGGATTTTAATCTATATTTAATTATGAATTTGTGAAGCTTCCTTCTGCTTTACTGACACTGACTAAATTTAATTTCTGAAGGGGAGCATGGTTGTAGAGAGAGGACCATATATTGTTACTCAATAGGAGCCTCTACTCCAGCCTCAAGGAAATGTCTTTGCACGCTTTGTGCACAGATGGGTTCTGTGTGAGCTTTCTGTCTTTTTCTGAGACAGCAGACAGGGCTGCGTGCTGCTGGAGGCAGGCTGACAGACTGGCTGAGCTTTGGTCTGTTCTGATCAGTTTCTTTTCTGAACCAAAAAGAAAGCCTGATCCTCCCGAAGCACCAAATAATTGCGAGAGTGGTGTTTTCTGATCAGCCTTATTTTTAACTTGCTGTCAAATCAGTCAGATAACTGTGTAACTTGTAGGGATGCATGTGATGCGTGCTTTGTGTTTTATTCTTCCCATCCACTTTGGACTTACTACATAGATAGAGCCTTTTCTTCTCTGTCCTGGTTCCAAATCGACTTTGTTAGTTTTGCACTAACACATATAAACCAGGAAAAACAAACGTACATCGCTAATCTAAAACGCTTCCTAAATTTTTAGGATTTATCTTTATAGATGGAGCCCATGTGCTTTGTTCAGCTAAGTTCAAGGAATTTATATTCTCCAGAGACTTCTAGCTCTCAGTGGTGTAAACTGTTAAAGAGTTGAGCTCTAACCTAGCAACCGAGTCTATAACATTGTCATGCCTTCCTGGGTCCTCCTTCCTTTAAGCAATCTTTGCAAGGTCTTGCAGAAGGGAGATACCAGAACGCTAATGTTCAGTCCCAGCTCCACTACTTGTTCCTGCTGCATAACAGTGTGTCTGTCACAGATAACAGGCTTGCAGGACAGCTGCTCCACTTTCAAGACTGACAGATGAGCTAGTGGAGGAGCAGAAACTCTCTCTCTTCTCAATAAAATCAGGAGACTGCCTGGCTGAGCCAGTAAAGAGAACGTGTCCCAGGCATAGCGGCCTAAGTGTGCGCTGTGACTCCTGTTTCTTTGTGTGTATTCTGCTTTGTGGGACAGGAGAGAGATTCTTCTCAGGTGGTTGGGTAAACTTGGAAAGATAATAGTGTATTTTTTCTGAATGCTGAAGTTAAAACCAACTTTCTTTCTTCCTTCTCCCCCAACCCTGAGCAGTCAGTGAATCCCTACATTGTGAAGCTCTCCATCGTAGATGATGAGGCCACGCTCAATGTGAGTATTTGACTTGATTCCTCTGTGCTCCTGGGGATGCTCTTTCACATGTGGTGTTAGGGTAATGAATGCAATCATGGTGTCTGGTAGAAAGAAGGTCTAGGAACAGTGCCACTGTAAAGAACACCAGTATAGTGGGTTTCTGCCCTAACTGCACTCTTGCAATAGGTTAGGCAGCTCATGATTTGGACAGTTTGATCACCAGTTAAATGGTGGGGGTGGTTAAAAAGCTAGGTAGCAAGGAACATGCTAAAGTTGATCTATGACACATTTATGAACTATCTATACACTATTTGCTGTCACATGCCAAAGAGGCACAAGATAGCTTATGCCAAAGAAGACCTCATTTTCAGTGCTGTGTCATCTGATTTTACCAGTCCACAGGTCAATTCCTGTAGCTCAGTGGAAGCTTGTACCTGAGTCAAGAGTCCTCCAACATATTTTGGGTTGTAGTCACTGCCTAAGTTTTGAATCCAGGCCTGGATAGAAAGTGGCAGCACACTATGAGCTATGTGAGGTCCGGAAGCTGTTCTTTAGGCATGAAGTAAAAAGCAAGCTCCATGCTAACTAAAGGGCAAGAACGATTATTCTGAGTTAATTAAATTAGCTTGACAGAAAGGATGATCAGTAGCTGTGGAATGGTGGAGGCTGTTTGCAAGAAGTGAAAAGATTACTAGTGTTTATGGCCTTTGTTTTGAACTTTTGGATGTCCTTCCTCTGGCACCAGCTTCCTTCTGAAGTTCTTGCTGCTTTATTGAGGCTTCTTAGTGAGTAAGCTCTGGACATCCAAGGAGAGTGAATGTTCTCTGTTGAACTTAGTAATTAGATATCCAACTTTTAAATTTTGGTGTCTTGATTTTTGGATGATATTTTTGTTGTATCATAGCATGTCTTAATAGTTCAAACAGCTTCAGGGGAAATTCTTCATAGCATGCTAGGTTATCTTGGCAGGGGCAGCACTGCTATGTGTGTTCAGTGTGTGATTTCCTGCATTGAGATTTGTAATGTAAAGATTTTTTTAACGCTTTTTTTAGGGAATGGGACTTGTAATTGCCCAGGCTTTATCGGAATATAACAGGTAAAACCTAATTCTCTTGTTTTTCAATGCATGATAGTTGCTGTACCTTTCCACAACTTTTTTTTGTGTTAAAGCACTTATTTATCACCTAACAGCCCTAATGCACCTGGAGAGGCAGGGAATAGTCTTATGCTTTGAGGTACTTCGGCTCAGTTGTTGCTGTCATTGCAAGTGTAAATGCATCTGTACCAGCTGTGCTGATGTGCTTCAGGAGAGATCTTGCTGTAGAGGAAGATATCTATTGTATGTTTTTACTATCATTAATTTAATCTCTGTATGAACCTTGTGTAAAATCTTAGTCCCAAGTGAAAAGAGAAATTATTTGCTGAGTACTTCTCTGTTAGAAAATTGATTTAACTGAAACTCGATCTAAAACAAACAAATATATACAGGACTATCCACATGCCAGATCAGCGATGATTAGGGGATGTATGCTCTTGCAAATGGTGGAAAGCATTAACTGCTTCTGAAGAAAGAGCCAGAAAGCCAGCAGTAGGGGTAGCATGTTCCCAGCCTCTGCTTCATAAGCAACAGCACAAAATGTATAAGTTTTCCTAAGAAGAAGGTGCTTCAGAAAAATTTAGAAACTTACAGCAGTTTCACCTGAGCAACCCAAGACTTTTTTTTTTGTGCAGTAGGATTCTCAAAGTATCCAGAAAAATGTTTTAATTCCTTTGAAGGTCTGCTATTACAGATATGCAGATGACTTGCAAGATCAGCAAATCATGTAAATGCATTTAACAGAGTAAATTATTAGAGTAAAGCAGAAAAAACGTCACCCACCCAACTTCCTTCATTCTGACAAAAGCTGACTCAGACTATGGCCTGTTTTGCTTAGCTCGCTCTTTCCCCCTTCCCAAAAAATTTAGAATTGTTTTCTTTGCATGTTGCATTGTGTGTGATCAGATCCCTCTATGAAAGACAGAATAAATGGCCATGTGAGCTTTGCTAGTCCATTTGATTGCCAAATGAAGCAACTTAGCTTAAATCTGAGGTACCCAACCTATTTGTTGACTTCATTTACTCCAGTTCCAGTCCCTTCACTTACTCCAGGAACGTGGGATAAGGCAGGATCAGGCCATGAACCGTAATGGTCCTCGTGGTTTCTGCTGGCCATAGGATGATCGACTCTGGTTTAGTCTGTAGCGAATGATGATTGAAATGAAGCTGTTCTGTGGTTACTGACTGTGTGCGTTCACGTGGTTCATTACTGTTTTGCCAGTGCAGGACAAAATTTCTTAAGTCACTTGGTCCCTTTCCTTCAGCATTAGCCCAGACTGGATGTATCCTTTATAACAGCACAGGCATTGTTCAGTCTCACATCTTTCAGCAACCCCACTTCAACTCTACACAATTTACAAATATTTTAATACCCTTTGCATCTCTTTTTGTGAGTTCTTGAAAAGGGCTTGTGTGCTGGTTAAACCACGACAGCTTGTGAATGTTGTAGCTTTCTCCATCCTGTATCCTTATCAGATAAGACTGTCTCATAGGGATTTAGATAAAATAACTCTAGTTCCATTTCTAACCCTGAAGCTTCATCCTTGTTCCTTTTTGGTCAGGCAATACAAAGATAAGGAAGAGGAGCACCAGAGTGGTTTCTTCTCAGCCCTAACTAACATGGTAAGTAAGGAAGCAGTGTTTTTCTATTCTTAAAATAGGTGCCTTCATGGAAGTTCAGCAGGAGGGTGTTTCCAAAAACTGTGAGTTTGAGATGTGGGTTCTGGAGGGGGAGATGCCTTGATCCAGTCCAAACCAAATACAGCTCAAATGGCTGTATTCTGAGGAGCGTGCTGTTGTCTGGCTAGGAAAGCTCTTTCAAAGGATGAGAACTCTGTTCTGGTGTTGATAATTGAAATTGTTTTCCTTCATCTTCTTCATTCCAGTTGACTTTATTTTAAAAATCACAATTACTTGTTGGACACTTTTAAACAGCTACTTATTTTTAAAAACAAGTTGCTGCTCTGCTGATGTAGCCTACAACAGAGAAGCTGAATATTTTTGTGGCAAAGTCTACTCTGTCACTAGCTTTAGAGATCTGGTTTTTTACTGTCTTGTTTCTCAAGCCTGGGTGCACTGTAGCCATGAAGTAAGCTTGGATTCTGCAATGGGCAGTGTCTGCATTTTTGGAGGGGTACCCTCTAAAGGCAATTGGGAATTTTGTCCTTGTAAAGAGTATCCACTATTCCCCTTGTTCAGTTTGGCTTTGCTTCAGTCTGAGATTTAATTGTAGTCTAAGATGTAACTGACAGGAAAATTTCCTGTAAGTAAGCGTGGTTCAGTGTTGACAGCTGTCTGTCAGGAGTGACATGGGTAAAACTGCTACCACTTTCAGGCAAGCAGATAGGAAATGATCTCTGTTGTCCTTTTACAGAATCACAGACTAATCCAGTTTGGGATTCAAGATACAGTCCTTTTTTTCCTCTTTTGTGATTTGACAGGTGAAGCGTTTGTCAGTGACAGTAGTGCAAAATAAAATGTGTTTGTAGATGGTCATTCTGGTTCCCATTTGTATTTTACTAGTATTAGAAAGAAAGTTGCATGTGTGCCCTGGACACTCCTGCCCTCTCCCAGGGCACTTCTGATTTAGTTAAATCCACGTCTTCTCTCTTGTTGTCTAATAGCTTTCACAAATTCCTCCTATGCAATACTCTTTCTTTCCATAGGTGGGCAGCATGTTCATAGCAGATGCTGATGAGAAGATCTCAGTCCAGTAAGTGCACAGATGTTAGTTACACAATGAATGGCAACTCACCACACTGGTCAACATGATCCGCTCCATCATGGAGCTGTTCTAATGTAGCAAAGCAAACTAGAGGGACAAGTTCTCCTCTAACTAAAATGGTACCACACCCCTGCAAACAATGGATCCTTACTTAAGTGAGGAGGGTGCAGCAAGAGGAGCCACAGCTGAATTGCTTGTGATGAAGTGTATAAAAAAACCCAAACAAACAAACCAAAAAAACCCAACTGTGGTTTTTGTGAGGTATTTTTAACATATAATAGCCATGTTGGAGGTGGCAGATGGGAAGTGATGGTTCGTGCACTCTTGTCCCCAACAAAATGTTTTCTAAATCAAGGGGGCAAGTGATAAATATGAGGGTTTGTGGTGTCTATAGGAACCTCTGCCCTTAAAAGAAAGGACTTTAAAAGGAAAACAGTTTGAGCAACGAGGGGGACCTTCAACAGGAGAGGAACAAAGACTAGTTGAGCTCTAAAAATAGCTATTTTTATGGATTGCTAGGTGCTACTAATACTCGGAAGAACAACTGGATTTCAGAGGCAGAGTTTTATATAGTTGAAAAAAAAATTCATTTTTTCAGATGGGCCATGCTTCTGAAAAACTCTTCTCTTGAGATTCTGATCTGGTGTTAGCCATTAACTAACTGTGCTTTTGCCTGTATTCTTTCCACAGAACGAATGAAGCAATCCTTCTGGCTCTCTATGAAGCTGTTCACTTAAACCGGAATTTCATCACAGTTCTGGCACAAGTGAGTTTCAGTGCCATGTTTGCCCATTTCTTTGTAGTGGGTGTCTTTGAAATTAGAGAGTCAGAAATGGAATCCGTGAAAAGATAAGTGGTTTGGTTGTTCCTCCCCCCCACGTACTTGTCATAGGTGTAGATGAGTATGAAAGATCAGAAGCGGGCCAGGGCCTGGGTTTATTATACTTCTAGGAAATGCTTCCTGCCTTGCCAGAAAATGAGTAAAGTTTTCAGGGCACAGCTCATGTTGGAATGAGCCATTTTTCCCACTGAATGGGAAGGGCTGCGTGGAGTGCCTTCTGTGCCCTAATGATACTGCCTTTAGGGGGAGATGGAGTGGGTGGACTGGTAGGGATAAGACTGCTGCAGCTATCAGAGCAATTCATGCTCTTGTTAAGTTAGAGTTGAGGGAAAGAGGCTGATCCAGCTCCAAAGTTGGATGAATTGTCCTGTTTGGGTGTGCACAGACTGCATGTTGTTGTCTGTTTGGGTATCCTTTGCTTAGGGACTAATCGACATGTGATGACTGTTGTTTCAAATACTATTTTGTGTTCAAACTTCCTTGGAGAGCCCAACCCCTTTTGCTTGGGAGACTGCTGCCAGAGCATAGTACTCCTCCTTGTGCTGTTTATGGTGAAGAAACAGCTATGGCAGCCTTCTGAGAAGCAGTGGGCTGCTCCATGCCTCTGATCACAAACCTCTGGATGCTCTTCTAAACACTGTGTGAGTTTGCAAAGGTGGTTATTGCTGGGAGACAGGTAACGAGCCTGTCTGATCTGGTGATCGTGCTGTGGCTGGCTGGAAGGATAGCGTGATGTGTTTAGGAAAACCTTCAGGTTTAGGCTTTTAATTTTGGTTTGTAAGTACTGTTGGTAATCTGTGAGAAAAATGACATCAGCAAAACAGTTAACACCTTTCCCCAGTTATTTCAGGTCTTCAAGAGTGTAGCCATACATCACAGGCTAGACACTTGGCATGGCGGAGGAGACCTTTGGGGACTCCTGACAGTAGAGGTGATGGAAGAGGTCTGATAGGCACATCTACTGCCTCTGAAGAAAGCTTCTGTTCCATGGGTGGTTAATTTGCTGAGGTTCCCTGCCTCTCTTTTCCCAGGTTATTCATTCCTACCACTTGTGAGAGATTTCTGCTCTTTCAGTTCTGTGTAATACCAACTCAGGCCTTTCTGTGGTCAAGATATCCCTGAGGGAAGAGAGGCCTTTGGCAGGGAAAAGAGTAGGGCAGGAAAAGAGCGACTAGAGTAAAAGCTCTTAAATTAAAAATAAAAGGATAAACTAGTTATTTGTGAAAGTGATAGCTGAAGTGGCCACTGATCAGTGGGTTTAATTGAAGTGGAGGCCTGATGTTCTTGGGTGGATTGTCTGTAATCCTTCATTTAAGAGAAGGCAAGGTAGGTAATGCTGTCCTTTGGAAAAAACCTCATAAAAGTTGGTGGATGCTCTTGTCTAAGTTGGTGTCCATTGCTAGGGACTGCATGAATGACTACCTGCTGCTGTGTGGGCACATAGGAAGAGCAGGGATACAGTTGTGTTGATGCCTGAAGCGTTCAGGTTTTGGTATACTTGTTGGTCCTCAGTTTTTGCTGCTAGGTGGCACTATTATCTCTCAACTGACGGTTAGTGTTTGGGGAAAAGAAGGGTAAACACCATAGCAAAATCTATGGAAGCAAACCTGTTTTATGTAAGATTTTCAATGGAAAATTGTATTTTAAAGTTTAAATCAGTATCTGTAATGATTTAAAATTGTCTTTGAATTGTGGTATATGTGTCTGTGCTTCCTATAAAATACATGCATTTATAGTTGCTCATAAAACGAGATATTCAAAGACAATGTGGAGGATATCCGCATGTGAAAAATCCTATGGAACTAACGTCAAATCAGCAGTTCTGTATCCCTTTCTTTTAGTTTGAAATTGTGATGATATATTAAGGCAAATGATACATTTATGCAAAACTTGCCCTATGAAATGGACACTTTGCTTGGCAGCCAGACTTAAAATAGCATGGCAGATTGCCTACAGTCTCACCAGTGTGGATGGATCCAGAAGCTTACAAAGAATAAAGTCAAAGCAGTAATTAGGCAGGCAAATATTGGCAAAGATGAAATGGGGAGAGAAACCGACTGATGGAAGCTGAGAGGATCGATAATGATAGTGTTGTGTTATGTTATGCACTCTTTTCCTGCAGTGCCTGGGCTTTATAGTGAGACAGGGAAGTAATAAATTGCCATCATCTTTGAATATGAACAGGTGGAGGGCAGGAGCGATGAGAATTTGCTTTTAGAAAGAGAAGTAAAGGATCTTGGAGAAAGACTTCAAATGCACACCCTTGGGTTGTTTTGGGGGGAATCGGGAGCTATAAGCAGTGTAGGCTTCTGCGTACCTTTTCCCATTCTGCACTGAGGAAGGGCATGTTACCTGTCTGCTGGGGACAGCCAGCACTTTCTGATTTATATGTATGTTTTGTGGAGTAAGGAAATTGATGTACAGTTTAATTGTAGACGTCCAAGGTCAGGAAGCCTAGCCTTGCTTTTTGGAGGAGAGGTTGAAGTTTCTTGAGACTTCATTAGTCATGTCTATTGTGTGAGAGCGTGGAACAGCACAAGTAGTGCTCTGTATGACTAGTGCCTAGGGAAGCTGTTGACCTGTGTATGTATGGGCATTTGTGTTTTCTGTTAGAGCCATCCTGAAATGGGGCTGATGACAACACCAACAAGCCCAATTCCAACGACGCCTGTCACTCCACTTGGAACTACCCCGCCTTCTTCAGATGGTAAGAAATGTAATGATCTCCTGGGGAAAAACAATTAAAAACTGTAAAATAACTAGCAAAGCATTTTCTCAAGATGGCAACTAATGAGGTCTGTCTGGAGCAGATGTAACCTGGTGGTCTCTTCCTGGAGCGGCTTGCCTTACTAAACATGAGCAAGATTCTTTGACTTGAATTTATTTCTGTTTTGCCTTGTATATTGCTCAATGAAATTATGCTTATATTCCTTCTGAAAACAGTACTGTCCCAGTATCTGCATGAAGATACACCCAGCCCATTAGTTATTCTATGTAGGCTTTTACTTGGGAATATTTCTAGTGTCAGGTTCTTTGCCTGGAATTATTTGTCATTGGAACAGATTTACAGAGAATCGCAGTGGATTCCTGCTTGTCATTAATGCACTTGTCCCCAGCTTTGAATTAATTGGGATTTGAATCCAAGCTGGATGTGGAGGTATTCCTCCCTCTTGTTGCCTTTTCTCTGATAGGCTTTGTAAATGACTGCTTGCCCTGAGATCTTTCTTCTAAATGAGATGTTACGTGTCCACATAAATAAACTTTGAAATAATCTAAAATAAAACCCTTTTTGTTTAAGGTATGGATAGATATAGCCTAGTTTAAGAGAAGAAATCAAATGGCTTTTGTCACATACTTTTAATGACATCCTCTAGATCTGAAGAAAGTGTTTAAGGAAGGAATGGAGTCAGTTTGAATAGAACACAGTTTGGAAATATTTCTGGGGAAAAGCAGCCTGGGTTACTCAGTTATATCAGCTATTCAGGTCATTTGATATCCTAGTTAAGGATGATCCTCCTTGTGGATGAATTCTATCTGGTTACCATGGATATCAAAAGCTTCAGTTAAAAAGCCCCCTATGTCTCAAGTCTCCCTGTGCATATAACATAAAATGTAGAAGGACGGGCATTTTGTGGGCTTCTGTTCAACATGTTCATTGCAAATGTATCCGCCCACACACCATATTATACAACTGACAGAATTTATGCTTACCTACATCTGCAGCTTGCTTGCACTCTCTTTTTTTAATTTACCAAGAAACAAAAGCAAAACAAAAACTCCATCCTGCTTTCAGCAGAGGCAGTGATCTTGTGAAGCTTGAGGCTTCTCGCCGCTTGTAAGGTTACTAAGTTTAAGGAGAGGAGCTGATCTTAATGTGCAGCAATTACATCGGGAAGCATTCTTTATTTCTATTTGCTGTGACCTTGCTGATCCCTACTCTCAGTGACTTTCTTTTTTTTGAGGACCTTGGCTTGGTTTAATTTGAGTGGTGGTACTTTAGTATTGCTGTTATTTTAAAGGTATGTCAGAATTTTCCTCATTTTCTAAGGTCTTGCAACTCAGCTGTAAAATTTGCCTATGGCTGGGAGTTAGCAAGAGGCTTTTTGGCTTTGGAATGAAAAGATTGCTTTCTTCTTTTTCCTGCGTTTAAAAAAAGTGTAGTTGAGCTCTTTTCAAGTTACAGCAACATGTAGAAATCCATCTACGGGTTTCAGGCACTTTTTTTTATGCTGACTGGGATTAAAACTGGGTTCAAATTCTGGTTTGAAATTTCTCTGTTAGCCTATAATGTGAATTAAAGCTTTTTAAAGTTTAAAAATGTCTGTTAAAAAAATCAAGGTCTGTAGCATGAACCAGGATAAGCAGTGATGTGCTCTTCAGAGTGATTTCTTTTTTTTTTTTTAAAATGAGACTTTTGCTAGAAACTGTTGATCCATAATATGTAAATCAAGTGTGCCTGTCACCATAGTTATCTAAATGTCAGTTTGCTTACTGTTGTTAAATATTCATTCACTGCATTCATTGTAACAGCTCCAGAAGGACCCACTGGGGATATAAATACATTTTTCAGACTTTTAGCTAAATCTTTGAGCTATTCATAATATTGGGGGTGAAAAAGCTTCCAGTCTCATTGCATAGACGTTGCCAACAGACTGGGCATGTTAGCAATGTGTCAGGAGCCCCAGAGCTTCAAGACTGAATGGACTAAACCAGCTCATGCTTGGGGAAGTGCAGCCTTTAGAAGCTGAAAGCCCCATTATCATCATTTCTTTGAAGCGACTCAAACAGCGAGGTTACATTGATCTATTTGGCCTATTGTCTATTGTTTCCACAATTTTGTATTCAAGGTGATTATATAAGCCTGAGCTCCAAGCTCCACTTCTTTGAAGCGACTCGAACAGCGAGGTTACATTGATCTATTTGGCCTATTGTTTCTAAGGGCTACAATTTTGTATTCAAGGTGATTATATAAGCCTGAGCTCCATGAGAACCTTTGCTGTGCTCTGGGCCTCTCAGTGCTCAGTTTAAAGAATCCTGCATTTTACTGTTGGTTCGTCTCCTTCACCCTTCTGTGCCTGTGCTTGCCCCAGTTCCAGGGGTAAATAAACCTTACTTGCCTCATTACAGCGTTATGAGATATAAGGCTTGAATTATGAAAGGCATTGTTTGTTAAAGCAGACTTTTCTCTGAACCAGGATACAGTTGTGTTACAGGATCAAATCACTTCCCCTCAGAGCCCCAAACCTAGCCATCCAAAAATCAGACGTAGTAATTCCTCACTTCTTGCAAGGCCCAATCTCATCATAAATACCCTTTTCTTTCCTCAAGAGTGAGAAAAGCCTTGAGCATTCCTGAGGATAGATGGAAAAGAGATAATACAGTTCTTAAGATGTGTGTCCTAGTGGTCTGCAGATCTGTTTCCAGTGCAAAGGGAGCTTTATCTTAGGTTATCTTTATAGCTTGAGAAGAGGGCCTTCTGGCAATCGTAATTCAAGCCACCTATGACCTCCTGCATGTGAAAACCTGCAAGTTTGAGCTCCTAGGCAGCCAGAACAGTAGTGTTATTGTCATGTCAGGACAGGCACGTAGGGCTGGAAAAGATCCCCTTGACTCCTTGAATCTAGTGCCTCGTGCTTGCGGGCACATCATCATAGAATCCCTTAAATTTATCAAGCTCTGTCTTAGTTTGTTAAATTTGTTTCCCAATAATTCCTGTTGGGAGGCCGTTTCAGCATCTTGTTCCTTGAAGATTTCTATAACTTTCCAACCTGCATTTCTTGTCAGTTTATACCCATTTATCATGACGTTAACCTTACTTTGGAACACAGATAGCTCTTCATGCAGTGGGTTACTTGCCTGTGTATTTTGCTGTCTCATGAGAAGGGCACTCTGTTCCTCTGATCAACCTACTAGCCTTTCTCTAAATTTGTTCAAGTGTGAGTTCATCCCCTTTTAACATGGCATCAGCATAATTATGCACAGTGTTCGAGACAAGGTCTCACCAGCATCTTGTGCAGGGCATTACTGTGTTCCTGTCTCTGCTGGAAGTGCATTTCTGGATATGTTGTAGGACGACACTTACTCTTCAGTGCTTTGTGCTGGTAAGTCATCATTGTGATCTGATAGGGTACCATGCATGGTATCACAACGTTTTGTTTGCAGCTGGTGAGCTCTCAGCTTGCCATGGAAATAAATCCCTGAATTCCTGACCTTGTGGCTTGTACTGTTGAATTTCATCTTGTATTTATTATCTGGTCTGTGTTTTTATCCCGTTCTTTGCGCGCAGTCTGATATTCCTCTGTGTTTACATAACCCAACTTTCTACCATTAGCAGATTCATTAGTAAACAACTGTTTCTTGTGCCCAGGTCACTTACAAAAAAGAAAACTGTTCCCTAAACTGACACCTAAGGAATTCAAGTAGTAACTTCTTCCTAGACTAATAATTTCTTCAATTGTTTCTGCTTTGCCAGATCTTCGATATACTTCAAATTTCTGTATTTGTTCCCACCTATCTGCTTCACTCTTAATTTTTCATACATAACTATATTAAATGCTTTACTGAAGTCCTCTTAGACTAACTCCATCAGTTTTGGGTTTTTTTGGGGTATTTTTTGTCTGAGCTAATTTATCTTAAACGATATCAGACTTACCTGGCAGGATCTGTAGGTAAACGCATGCTGTATTTTTCCCCACTTATCTTTTCCCCCCGCTTCAATATTTCTTGTAAAGCATTTCTGAATGAGGAGGCTGAGAATGGCCCTTGCTGACAGCTCAGGCTCAGTCATCAGTAAAAATGTGGCTCAGTCACATGATAGAGGTTTGACAGCTCATAAACTCAGTGCTTCAGATGGTACATGGGGAGCGAGCAGGAGGCACATTGTGCAATTAGCTGAGTGATTGAGATAGCTTCTTGTAAAGCCTTAGGCAGATGATGTCCGGTGTTAAGGTGTCAAAAGTACAACTGGTGGTAACAAGGAATGTATCCTAGAGAAATGCCAATGAACTGCAGGTATGGAAAGTACATTTCTGCTCCCTGCTGTGTTGTGATTTCTCTAGCACAAGCTATGATTGCTTCTGCTTCTTGGCTTTTTATAAAGCTGCTCTTTCTACCTCTCTTTTCTACCATTTTGGTCATGCAATAATTGTTACATTACTGTCTTCTGTGTTGCTTCTGCAAGAGAGGCTGTTGTTGGGAGGGAAGAACGGAATTGATGTGGACCTTTTGCAACTGAAATTCCAAAATTGCTGGAACTGAGAAGGGTCTTTGCTGGGCGTGTTTCTTTCCAAACTGAGAATGGTGTGAATGTTAGTTGTGTTGGTTGTAAGAACTAATTGGATATCGGTGAGCATATCTTGAGCTCCCTAGGTTGGGAATGTTGATGAATGCTAAAATAGCAGGCTGATCTCCCTCGGGGTGGGAGGCGGGGGGCAGGACAGAGAAGGGTATCACTTTGCTGGGTACCACAACCTATACTTAGAGCAGGAGAAGTGGTCTCTGAGGGAGTAGTGGTACCAGTCTTCAAAACAAAATCTTTGCTGGGCGGTCATGAAGGAGGAGGAGATCAGGTGACCCTGCAAATAAGCTGATCCTATCCCCGATCTGTGAGTCTGTGACTTGGTTCTCTGTATTGTTATCTCTTGTATTTGTGGAGGGTAAACGTGTCTTATCTTTGTTCCAGTTATAAGCTCTGCAGAGCTGCCTTTGGATGCTGATGTGCAAACTAGCAACCTGCTAATAACCTTCTTGAAGTACAGCTCGATTGTGATGCAGGACACAAAAGGTAAATAAATTCTGTTGATGCAGCTGTGGATGCAGCAAGCAGTGCTTCTTGAAGTCAGAAGGGCATAAGAACGTGTCTAGTGACTCCAGAAATAGAAGGTAACTGGAGTCCCTTTAGAGGACTGAAGGTTTCACCTTTTGAGAAAATGAAATGATTTCTTACTGCGAAATAAGAGTTATGAGACTAGGAGAGACCTGATGCTGGCAGGACAGAAGTCAAATATGGAAAGAATGTAATAATAATAGTAGTACCTAATAACCAAACCTCTCCCTATGCAGGAAGTGTGAGCATATCTGATTCCCAACTGTCTGTCAGAGAGGGGAAGTCATGTACCAAAGAATTGCATTTTTAAGAACATTTAGAAGCTGACACAGGAGGCAAAGCTCAGCATTAGGAGGAAATATTTCCTTTGTCCTTTGGTACTTGCTGGTTAAACAGGCAGCTCTAATTATAAAGAGGACAGCAGTAACTTACACTGTACTGGCAGTAATTTGCCTGAGAAGATATATTTCCATATTGTGCTTTTTGTTTCTCCTGATAGTTTTGTGGGGGTTAATTTCAGCTTGCTGGAGTTGAAGTATTGCTTCATCTCCTGCTCAAGGTACCCAAGGGTGCTGGTTTGCCCAGTGGTTGTATGGGCAGGACCATAGTGTGAATATAACAAGTGATCTTTGTAACGTATTTCAGCCTATTACCAACTTCTGCTGTTAAGTTAGATGTAACAACTGAACAAAACTAGGAAGATAGCTGCAGAGCTATGATACATCGATTATTGAACTTCATGAATGCTTGGCACTGAATAAGAGAGCAGGCAGGAGAGTTTCCTTGTACCTACTAGCTTGCAGTGAAATAGTACCTGGCTGTCTTGTTCGGTATGCAAGCTAGCTGAGGAAGAAGTGAATAATTGAAATTAGGACCAAAAGGGACTTCAAGAAAATATCTAGCGCACCCCTCAAAACCAAGGCAGAATCAGGTTTACCTGTATCTTTTCTCAGAGATGTTGCTAGCAGGTTGGATGAAGACACTCTGATAGTGGAGCATCATTTTTAGACTATCCATTCCAGTGTTTAACTACCCTTATTGTGACAAAGCTTCATGTGCATCCTAAATTCTTTGCTGTGACTTAAATTAATTACTAGTTGTCTTCTCCAAGATAGATGCTGAGACGGATTATTTCTTTCTTCTTTGTGACAGCCCTTATATATTTGAAGTCTGCTTTCATGTTTCCTCTTGCTTTTGTCTTTAAGCTAAACCATCTCAATCTTTGCTCAATCACTTCTTACAGATTGCACACATGAGGAGGGCTTGCCAGCTCTCTCACCATTCTCATTTGCTTTTCTCAGGGTCTTTCTTGCTGATCCAAGTCTCTGATGGAACAATTTTATGTGTTTCAATTTAACTTCTGCACTTACTAGTCACCGTAATATGGAAAGTCTGCATAGGGCCTCAGGAACTGCCAAACTGGATTAGTTTCAGATGGAGTGAAATCTGATAGAGGGGATTCCTTACTAAACAAGCCAGCGAGAGATAAGTTTTTATTCTGGTATGAGACAGGAGTTGATGTTTCTTTCTTTACTTTGGTTCTAGCTTGTATAACATTTGAAATTTGTGTGACTTACAGACTTAATCTCCTTGCCGCCTTGGTAGTACGTGGCAATGAGCTCCACTGACTGATCGTTTAAAAAAAAAAGTGTGCCTTCCAAACCAGTGCTTATTAATTCTAGTGGGTATATTCCTGTCCTTATATTTTGATGATAGGTGGGGCCCTGCCTAACTTTTTTTCTTCTTGTGTAAGACCAAGCATGTGACACCAATATAGCAACAAGAGAAGAAGAATGAATAACTCTAATTTACTCCATGTGTCTTGAGACAGGTGGGAAGACTAAGAGGAGAGACTGGTTTGTTCCACATCCAGGACTAGACAGTTGTTTCGGTCCTGTCCCAGAGAGCATAATTTAACAGATTGCATTCGCTAGATCCTCCTCTTGTTTTCTCTCTTGTGTCAGTCAGAGGCAGCTGCCTCGGGAGAAATAAAAACTCTGCATCATTTCTTCCCATCTGTAAAATAGGGTTCATACTGCTGTACCTCCCCGTAGGAAGTGGTCTGCTTTCTGACTGATCTTAAAAAAAAAAAGTGTGCCTTCCAAACCAGTGCTTATTAATTCTAGTGGGTATATTCCTGTCCTTATATTTTGATGATAGGTGGGGCCCTGCCTAACTTTTTTTCTTCTTGTGTAAGACCAAGCATGTGACACCAATATAGCAACAAGAGAAGAAGAGTGAATAACTCTAATTTACTCCATGTGTCTTGAGACAGGTGGGAAGACTAAGAGGAGAGACTGGTTTGTTCCACATCCAGGACTAGACAGTTGTTTCGGTCCTGTCCCAGAGAGCATAATTTAACAGATTGCATTCGCTAGATCCTCCTCTTGTTTTCTCTCTTGTGTCAGTCAGAGGCAGCTGCCTCGGGAGAAATAAAAACTCTGCATCATTTCTTCCCATCTGTAAAATAGGGTTCATACTGCTGTACCTCCCCATAGGAAGTGGTCTGCTTTGTTCCTTTAATGAAGGATGCTGTGAAAGTATGAAGTGTCTGTGCGAGTAACTGCCTGCATAGCTGCCCCATAACTGCTGAAAATGGCATGGTGTTCACAGCACATTGGCTGAAGGCAGAGTACTTGGCATGAAACAGGAGCCTTCACAGCATGATCCCCAGAGAGAGAAGTGGTAGCAACACCTACAAAAATATACAGGGAGGCCTTACAACAGGAAAATAACAAGGCTCCAGTGCATCAGAGTTCTTTGGGGCCATTTCTGCTGCTTTGCTGGAGTAGAAAACTTTTCATGTAAACATTTTGGCTGAGGTGAGGAGACATAGGAGAGACTTTTAACTCTCCCATTCTAAAATCCCTCTTCATCTTTCGTAGTGCAGCAAGATGAAATCGGCACACTTCAGGGCACATCTTGTTAGTAAATATCTGTCCCCCAGCAGCATAGAAAAGAAAACAAAAGAGGCATCAAACTAGACAGAACAGCTAGCTAAGCCCATTCTGTCTATGTTTATGGATTACCATATACACACTAACTAGCAAAGTGTGTGTAAAAGTGACCTGCAAAGATGCAAGCAGTTTTGGCTGATGCTGTCTTCTGATTTATATGAAGGTGCTCTGGCTGTTTCAGGTTTCCCTCTCCTCCAAGTTTGACTCTAAGGCAGATGTCTGGGATGGCATGTTTAGTAGCCTTATGCTTTAGAGAAGCTGTTGGAGGTCTCAGGAATGTGCAGTTTTAAGCTTCCTCAGAATTTAGTTATAGGTATGTTGTTGTGCTTTTTTTTGTTTGTTTGTTTTTGTGGTTTTGGGTGTTTGTGGTGTGAGTAGTTTGGTTTTTAGAACAAAGATTTTTTCAATGAGCTTGATTGGACAATGCCTTGAACAACCTGACCTTAGCTGGCCCTGCTTTGAGCAAGGATTGGACCAGAGGTTTCTTAGAATCACAGAATCATTAAGGTTGGAAAAGACCTCTAAGATCATCGAGTCCAACCGTCGACCCAACACCACCATGCCCACTAAACCATGTCCCTAAGCGATAGAATCTTCCATCCTAAGTTACTCTATGACTGTATGTATCTTGTTTTTTTGGTATTTCAAGGTTAAAATTGAGAGAGAAGAGTTTTAAATAATCCAAATAAAAATTGCATTTTTCTGCCTTAGTCCCTCTCTATTTGTGAGTCTTTCAGCCCTCCAATTGTCATTCAGGGCAAAAGCTGCTTGAAACTGGAAGATAAATAACAAGTTGCAGAACATGATCAGGGTGGAACTCTTTTGGCTTAAAATGCTAAGTGTTTGCAGACTTCCTTCTTTCATGATTTTGCACAGAGCAAACTAGGTCGTGTCTCTCACTATTGGGGTTAAAACTCAGGACTTTGAGCATAATGTCAGGAGTCATTCTGCTACACTGTGCTGTGCCTCTACCAAAGCTTTGCTGCTTGTTTCATAACCTACAGCAAAGGTGATCTTTTTCTTTCTATCTTGTCTAAGAGAGGGAAAAGTGCATCTCAGCTGTCGCAGAAAGACAGGGACTAACCCCAGTATTTAGAATATCTGTGGAAGTAAAACTGAATGAGACAGAAGCCCCACTGATAGTTGCAGTGCTGGTGGTTCAAATCAGAAACTTTGCTGTTGGTGCAGACTGGTGGAAAAATTGGTGGGATTTAGTGGTCAGGCTGGAGGGTGAGTGCTTAATGAGAGTAGTTAGACTATTGGCTATCATGGAGGAAGTAAGAGTATGAAGAATCTCCAAGGCTGGGCTTTTCTCTTGCTGTAACCGCTATCTTACTCTTCAGCATTGCTAGGCTTGTGTGGCTCATGCAGGACTTGTTTTTTCCTTTTTGCAGATGAGCACCGACTACACAGTGGCAAGCTGTGTCTGATTATCCTGACATGCATAGCAGAGGTAGGTTTCTTGTGTGACACTGTTCAGCAGATGGTGCGTTACAGGGCTCTATCTGCATGCACATCCCCTGCCTCCTGTTGACCAGGAGCTAAAGATCCGCAGTGGTACCGAGTAGTGAGGACCTCAAGCACTTAACGTTTTGCTAATAAACCTGATGCAGTACTGTTAAAATTGACTTGAAACTTGAAAATTGGATCATCTTATTTGGGTTAGCCAACTCCCAGGGATGAAGAGAGAAAAGAGTGAACCTAAGCCTTTTCTCTCTTAGCTGTTGAGTGACCTTGTGGTGTGGCTTTTAGATGAGTAACATGCTAATGGCTTTCAGCTCTGTGCTGTTCATGGTAAACATGGGCCATGCCATATCCCTCCTGCCTAAGAAGGATACGAGTCTGAAAGAAAGCCGTGTGGTTGTAGGTTCCTACAAGCAAGACAAGTAGCAAATCTGGTAGTAGGGTGAGAAAGCAGTATCGCAGAGCTATATCAGCAGTCCTGGCTGAATGTGGTCCTGTCTCATGGGAAGTATGTACTAATGGCTTTGACATGTCCTGAATGGTGACTGAGTTTGCATGGCATTTGCATTTTGCTTGCTTGCAAGTAAAGACCTTTTATTCTTAACAAAGAATCAAAAAAGCAGCGATGTTGATAGCCAGTGTAAGGATTCTGACATAATGTTTCTTCAGGATGCAGTCTGAAAGCTAATCATCTGCATTTCAAATATTTATAATTAAATGTTTTTGGCACTTGAGTTCTTCAGGTGAATGCATAAGTAATACAAGATAAAAAATTCTGTTTCTATATAGCAGGGACATGTTTTGGTTCTGGTATTAAAGGGAGGGTATATTTATTACCCAACCTGGCTGTGCATTATCTGGAGGAATCACTTTGTTTTAGAGCTGGTCTTGGAATCAGCTTTCTCCGAGGGGTGGGACAGCTGATAAACCTGCGTGCTAGTGCTGCAGTAACTTCTGGCATGATGGGCCCATCAAAATGCCAATATAAATCTTTGTCCACACAGTCACAGGAACTTGTGTGCTGGAGAACCACCTCATGCGTTATACAGCAGTTGTTAAAATCTTGACACTGTGGTGTGTGCAGTCCAGAGTTCGGATGAGCAAAGGAGGAGAATGGAAAATAAATTGCTAACAAAACAAGCAGTAGCACAGACTTAACTAAAAGTGGAATTGGGATCAGGAGGGGTTTACTTTTGTGTGACTGGAGACATGGGTGGGGACAAGAGGAGGTGACAGGTGGCTTTCTAACCTTATAGCTGTATGTTGGGAGTTTTACACTGAAACACATGTGATTTGAGAGGCAAGTGGAAGGTGTTGGGCACTTGGTTGGCTATTCATATGTCCTCCCTTTTCTTGATCTTTTCAATAGGATCAGTATGCTAATGCTTTTCTCCATGATGACAACATGAATTTTCGAGTAAACCTACACAGGATGGTGAGTCTCTTCCTCCAGATGGTCTGTTTTCTCTTTGGGATGAGAACACAGAGGATTTGAGTCCCTGTATGTTGAAAACTGTGTCACAGCAATCTAACCTAGATTGCAAGGCATGTGGAAGTACTGTGAGAAATGCAGTAGTTGGGGAATGATTTTGAAATCGCTCTCAGAATGTCTCACTCTTTCAAAGAACAAAGAGCTGGTTGCCCTGTCAGTGAATTCAGAGGCCTGTGTAGCTGGGGAGGAGCTGTGTGTTACGAAGTATCTGAGGAAATCAGTGGCAGAGAGAATGTTCTGCCTTAATCTTCAGCATTAGCTCTCGTGATATATTAATAGCCAGCTGGAGTTACAGTGAGTGCTCTAATTTGGCTTATGCTTCATCCTGGGTGGGGTGACTCACCTTCAAGGAGAAAAGTATTTTTTCCAGAGCTTTTTTCCTATAGGTATCTGTGGAGGAAGTGTCCTTACCTGGCTCGTGAAGCTCTGTAGTTGCAAGTAACTTGAACGGTTATCCTAACTTGATGCATTCTGTCTTTGTGGTACTGGCAAGTTCCACCTTATCTGACAGTGAAGCAGCACTTGAAAGTGTCACTAGTCCAGGACAGAAACAAACATCTTACTTTATAGTGAACATACTGCAAGGATGCTAGTCATTCCCATTTAACAACAAACTTGCCATTCAATTAGCCTTTCTGGTCTGTTACAATAAAGACCAAAGCCATTTAATACTGCACATGCTGTTAAGACTGCAGATCAGACTTCTGGGTCAGGAGCAAATCAGTATGTTAACCAAGGGAGAGGAGTTGCTGTGTGATTTTATTTGTTTGTTTGTTTTTGTTCCTTCTCCCC